GTTAGGTGTGTGTGGGTGTGTGGTCATCACCGAACCTTGTACAAATCTGAAGAACGTGTGGAATGGGAGGTGGATATATCATTCTAATGGAGAAGGGGGAGTCTGGTGGCCGTAATCGTTGGTCTGTATAGGGACGGTGTCAGTAACGCTCTCTCGCACTTTATACATTGTTAATTGTACCTCACCTTCTCCCTGCAGTAAAGGTTGACTATGAAATGTTGGTATGCCAGAGTTGATAATGTTGTTGGCAGGCGTACAAGGTCCTGTGTGAGATGTATGTCGTTATGTTGCTAGTTATCGCCATACTAAGACTTCGAAGGGCTGTATACTTGCTAGGTTAGGTTGACTGTTAATGAAAGCCTTAATGATGATGATGGTGATGATGATGATGATGATGATGATATTTAGTTATGAATTTAAGAATGACTCCTACAGGTGTATGGGAGCACAGTACCTCAGGCTCCAACTATGTATTCGTATATACTGTGAAACACCCCAGCTTATTACGCCCGATGCTGAAACATCCTAAACCTAACCTAACCTAAGCCTTGTCGGGGGGGGGGGGTAATTATAAGCGGGGGTCGGCAACTCTTTCACGCCTCTCTCAAAAATTCTCAGTATAAACATCAGAGCACCACAAAAACCTGACGTCAATGCTGGAAAATTCGTATTGACGGGCAAACGAGAACAGGTTGCAGAGTTGTGTAAAGAACTCGACCAAATGGTTGTGAACGAAAAGATCAGACAAAAACCTAACAAAGTTATGACATAGACCCTGCACGATATAAACCCTTCATTGAGAAAATGTGTCATTGGACGGCAGAGACTCTTCATTCGGGACCTCTAAGACCATTTTAACGTCGAAGGTTTTGTTCCTAGTTATTATAACGTAACTGATCCAGTGTACGTAAGCTTACCAAATCGAGAACGCAGTGCGGGCCATTAGAGTGTGCTGGCCTGGGTTAATCCGAGGTACCGGGGAGCGTCTCAAAGGCGGAGGTGACTTGATATTTGTCGTGTTTTGGAGTTTTTGTTGATTCATCTTCTTTCTTTCTTCTTCTTCTTCTTTTTCCTATTTTCTTCTTCCTTCTTTACCTATTTCTCTTCTTCCTTCTTTTATTTCTTCTTCAAAATTTTTATTGTTTCATTGTGTGTGTGTGTGTATTTGTTATGTGTGCGTATTTACTGTATTTGTGTGTGTATGTTTGTGTGGAGTCATTTTGTGTGTTTTTCATTTTGTTTGTACTTTATACCCTATTTGTTTGTGTGTATCTGTGTGTGTGTGTTTGTTCGTCTCGTGTCATCGCTTGTATATCAACAAGTAAACACAGTATATTAACATACAAATTAACAAATTACAAATACACTTGCAAACAAATCTGTTGATCTACCACAGTCTATTTTGATGGTGAAGAGTATCTGCATAATATAGTGAAGATATAGTGAGCTCTCATTTCTTTTAATTAGTGAACCGAAACATAAAGGATACCATTGTCCTGTGATGACTCTTGCAGTGTTGTGTAGTGGAGAGTTTTAACTAGGGGATTGGCAAAGGGAGTTCTTTTGTTAATTGAAGCTTTTATTAAGGATACAGTGAAGTTCTTTTGTTAACTAAAGCTTTTGTTAAGGATATAGTGAAGTTCTTTTCATAATTGACGCTTTTAATAATAGACCTTAGAATATAATGTATAGAATTTTTGTTTTAAGTTTTTCCCACACACAAATAATGTTAATTTATAGGATAAGAATGTTTAAATCCCTAACTTAACAAAAAAAAAACAGACCGCAGTTAGCATCGTTAACCTCAAGTCACACTCCCATAAACACACACACCAAACAATGTTAACAAGTGAAAGTACATAAACATTAGTAGATCCTCATAACAAACATCATCAATCATGTCTTACGTTACTTCACACACATAAAAAAATACGACAAGGTTTTTCTGTTAACACCCAAGACCAAACCGGTATCGAATTACACGTCGACTGAGTTTTTTTTTTTTATGATTACTAACGATCTCACCTAATGTTCTCTCCTTCACCCGCCGCCGCTCACCCTAAGCTACCATTGATATAAAGTTGAGCTATGCATAATATAATAGATATAGAGGGTTATAAGTGCATATAAAATGGATATATTTACCTTCATATACACCGACGAGGCCTTGAACAACACGAGACTACTTATAGAGTGCGTGAGACCTCGACTTCCTTGTGTTCCCTGCCTGCTGGCGTCACCTGCTGCTTGTATGTTTATCTTTCGAGATAAACTTCATGCATCTGGCAGGGGATTTGTTTAATGTTTGCATCTTTGTAGATATTACCTCATCCAGAGAGAATGTTAAGAGGGTAGTTATTATTAATACTATGATAATCGAAATGAAAACAATATAAATCATCAGTCTTTTGTTTTTTGTTTTACTGTTTGGATGAATTATTCTGTCGATAAATAATAAATAAATAAACAAATTAATAAACAATAAATAAATAATTAATTTATAAATAGATAAATAAATAAATAAACTCGTTACACCATGACGCTCACAGTAAATCCGAGTCAACTAAATTTGGCCGGAAAAAAATTAATCCCAGACGAAGTTATTCATTATACAAAATGTAGCCACAAAAATTACACCTTTCAATTTCAATTGTTTATTCCTTGATAGAGGAAGCGGGATCCTAGTGCTGTCACTAGGTACCCCTGTACAATGACACCAGAAGCATCTGGCAAGTGTGACAAGTTTATACAGTATAAATATTATAAAGGGGCTTACTAAAGCCTAAGGAAGGAAGGATATTCCTTTAACACATAATTAATATTATTTACAAAATATCTGGCCAGTATGGGGAGGATCATCGTGTCTCCGTCAGGGGGTCGTGGAGTGGTGGTCCAGCAGGCGTCACGGAAGCGTTGTGTGTGGGGACATCTTAGGAGGTAGTGGATAAGGGTGCTGCTGTCGGGTCTTCTGCATAATGCACAAGAGCGTTGCTCAGGGGATGCGGGGATACCAATCTCCCAAGCAAAGTCATACCCAATGATGATACGGGCAGCAATCACGTCCCCTTTCCGCGACCCTTTCCCGTAGACGTACGAGAGGTCAGGAAGTTTACGGAGGACATCGTACCAGGTGGGCGGGGAGTCCAGGGGGATGGCTGCTTCCCGAGCTTCTCTCTGTTTGCGGCGAATTTGGGTCCTAATCTGTAAGAGTGTTCGAGGAACAACGTAGTCAGGTGTGGCCTTGTTGCAGCCAGTCTTGGCAAGGCCATCTGCTGCCTCATTCCCCAAGATACCGACATGACTGGGTATCCATAGGAATGTCACAGGACGGCCTGCATCCTGAAGTGTGGATGTTAACCCTCGTATTCGGAGGATGAGGTCCTTATTTTCCCCTGATCCAAATGCGATCCCGTCGAGAGCAGACCTGGAATCGCAGCAGACAAGCAAGGGGCAGAAACCATCTGCTTCTTCCTCAGCGAGAAGGGCAGCAAGGAGGGCTATTAGTTCAGCCTGAGTGGAGGATGCCCCGTCAGAAACTCTGAGAGAAAGTTTGATAGGCTCAGGGGCATAGGACGGGAGATGTAGACACCAGCCCTGGCCCGACCTGTAGCGGGGTCAACAGAACCATCAGTGTAGAGGACGACCCTACCTGGGGACCAGTGGGCGATCCTGGAGAGGTGGTATTTGCAGAGAATAACAGGGTTCACCTCGGATTTCGGGAGCGGTCCACCGAGGGCAATCACTTCAGGTTGAAAATCCAGCCAGGGAGAAGGAGACGAACCAACAGCAGGGGTGACAACAATATCAGGCAGGAGGTCGTGTTCCTGAAGGGCTCGGATGAGTGATCCTCGCCACTGTCCTCTAGATGGAGGTCGGTCTCGGACAGCAGGAGTCAAGTTGGTTTGGACATAGTTGCCCCGAGGATCCCGTAGAATGGAAATGGCAGTTTTTAGGTAAAACTCCTGGACACGATCCTGTAAGGGGGAAAGACCAAGTTCGGTATATAGAGAAGTAGAGCGTGTCCACTGAGGAACCCCAAGGATGATACGAGCAGCTTTCCTCTGGGTAACTTCGAGACGGTTGACAGCAGTCCGACTAATGTTGACGAGGGCAGGGTCAGCGTAGTCGACACAGGAACGGACAAAGGACTTGTACATGGTGAGAAGTACAGGGATGGTGGCACCAAGGGAACCCCCGCACATGGTAGAGAGGGGAGCGAGACGCCGAAAGCATATGTCTCGAAGATAGCGGACTTCAGGGGTCTGACGTGTGCGAGTTACATACACACCCAGGTATATTACATCTTTCTATAAGCGTTAACAGTATGTGAGGGTGAACTACGGTTTATGGTTACATAACTACTAACACTGAGGAACAATAAAATGAGGTAAAGGAGGAAGAAAGGAATTAATAAAAGAAAAAGAAAAACTTGAAAAGGAATAAAATTTAAAAAATATGATAAATATCGTGACGATAATAACAACAGTAATAATGACAGTGTTAAGTGATAATAATAATAATAATTATAATAATAATAATAATAATAATAATAATAATAATAATAATAATAATAATAATAATAATAATAATAATAATAACGTAAGATTAAGAAAACTCGGTCAATTCGCCAAAAAACATTCAGAAAAGGGAACAAACTTCGCCCTTAAGACGTGACAATAAAGAGAGAAAGAGACAAGAGACACAAATTTTCAAGTGGACTTTAATCAAAAAGAAAATATTTATTAAAAAAATTTTCCCGTTAAATGTTCGTGCATGTTCGCTGTTATTCTTGTGCTGTACATTCTCAATATACGACTTGAAACAAAAGGTATTTATTTAGTAAGTTGCTTTTGTTTTACACCTAATATATAATTTGATATAAACAAAACAGAAAAAAGTTGGGTGACACACATACACACGCGCCACGCATTTGACGTATTGTGCGGTACGACAGTTTGGGCTTGCATGGCATAAGGTGCCAGATCAGCTGATAGTCGGGATATTTCTCACGTCCCAGCCGCTCCATCCACAGTTGTGAGCCATACAGAGAGTGTTGACAAGTCGTCGGTGCCACTTTGCCACTTGGACGCTTAACAGTATCTTGCATTGCTGTATAACCAACAAGTATTCTGCGCCGGTAAGTACATACTTTGATTAGTCAATATTTCTATTAAATAAAATAGTTGCTGTATTTGTGGTGCTGGAGGATGAGTGGATGCAAAGTTTACTGATATAAATATGTAGAAACACTTACTTGCGAACTAAATCTTCCAATTTTAAGTTCTGCGACAAAACCAAAGAACTTGTGGTGTAAAATAATAAATGGAATATGTACAGACAATACGTATTATCAATACTTATAATGCAACACGTGTAAAGATGTTTGACATTGAATAAATATGCAGTATTTAATCGCTTACGTATTGTGTAATGCATTTTAATCAGTGGAGTGAAGGAGGGGAATGGTTTAGCAAGATCTATGTAGGGGCGCGGCTGTGCGACTTAACTATATCGTATATCTGGACTTGTAATAATAGGCACTAAACGGGGTAACGATATAGGCTTTTCCTCTTGTTTATCTTGACTTGATAACGATTTCTTGTAGCTTAAGCTGTTTATCAGAAATTTGACTTCGGGTTAGGAGTACAAAGCGTCCTTGATTAAGTCTTACTGTAAATACCTGAGAGTTAACTACGATATCGCGGTTCATGAATTCATAAGGTTAGCATTAGGAATGTTTTTTCACTGCGGACGGTAAAATTATGAAGACCTCTCGCGGCACTACGACGAATCCGATGAGTTAGGAAACGTGATAAGAACATGTGGGGAATAGGAAGCTGTGGGGGGGAGGAGGGGATGTTGTGAAAGAGCTTTGGAATTTCTACAGAGATTAATGTTTGTGTTTATATTTTTAGAGGAGAATTGGGAGGTGGGAGACTCGAGGTTAATATAGAATCAGAAAAGCCATTTACGTTTGAAGAGAAATATCTATTGTCTGATAGGGTAAAGGGTGGGATATAATTGTAGGTTTAGCAGCAATATAACCGCTAAGGTAAATTATGCCCCGATCTTTCTCCACATCAGCAAAAAAAAATCTCAATGAGTTATCCAGGGTTAGTACTCATGGAGCTGACTAACGCAGGTGATTGAAGTACTGTAGTGGGTTAAATGTGGAAGATGAAGAAAGAGGAAAATTAATAATGATACACAAATTATTACTGAAATATCGTGTGAAATTTTAAACGTGAAGAGGAGAGAGAACTTTAAGGATATGTGGCTCCCTAACCTAACCTAACCTAACCCAGAGGAAACGTAACACTATCATAACTTAATTAACGTAATCTTAACACCGTAAAAGGACTTAGGTCTCATCTGGTTACATTTGGGTGTTGCCTTAATACATAGATTCACTTGGGAACTTTTCATCGAATCTTTTCCTCATCTTAAGATTTTTTTGTGTTCATTTTATTGAGGTTGATCAGATTTTGTTCAGCGAGATAATGTCCAATGGAATTTTGACCAATTGGAATTTTGACCGTGAATTATTCTGGGATCACTGAGTTCCCCCCCCCCCTCCCCCTACCCCTACCCTCTACCCCTCGTACGTGTTATGAGGGGGGAGGGGAAGGGGGATAGAGGGGGTTGGAGCATCCTTTCCTGTGCCATCTACAACACCAACAATCTCTCTCTCTCTCTCTCTCTCTCTCTCTCTCTCTCTCTCTCTGTTATATACACAGCAATAGTGAGTTTACCTGGTGTATTTCTTGTTATATACAGAAGATCACCTGAAGATTAGCACCCCCCAGGTTATATCACTTTAATGTTAATCACCTGTTAAAGTTAATCTAACGTTTACCTAATGTTGATATAACTTCACCTAAAGCTAATTTAACGACACTTAATCTTACGAAATTTAAACTAACGAAACCTACAGTAAATCTAATCTAACTAAACCTAAATTACCCTGACTTTAATCTAACGTAACGTAACCTAACGTAAAGCTAATTTAACGAAACAATCTACTACTAATGTAACGAAATTTAACCTATCTTAACCTAACATAACATCGCTAAACCTAACTTAACATGCTTAATCTAACTCTAACCTACCTTAACCTAACCTAACCTATCCTAATGCTAACCTAACCTAACCTAACCTCCCAGGTAGCGTTAAGGTGTTTAATCATCAGGTGAAATAAACTGAGGTTTCCTGATCTCCACCTGGTCTTAATAGCCCCACTGGTTGACGCAGGTTAGAGATTGGTGCCACTGTATCCCTTTCATCCTAAAGATTGGTGCCACTGTATCCCTTTCATCCTAAAGATTGGTGCCACTGTATCCCTTTCATCCTAAAGATTGGTGCCACTGTATCCCTTTCATCCTAAAGATTGGTGCCACTGTATCCCTTTCATCCTAAAGATTGGTGCCACCGTAGCCCTTTGTCGCAAAGATTGTGCCACTGTATCCCTTTCATCTCAAAGATTGGTGCCACTGCATCCCTTTCATCCTAAAAGATTGGTGCCACCGTATCCCTTTCATCCTAACCAATTACTAGAAACATTTGTCCATCAGAGTACACAAATTAAGAGCTTTCTGAACAATGACTTCTTTAAAATGGCGGTGATTGTAAATTGAAATGGCGGTGATTGTAAATTTAAATGGCGGTGATTGTAAATTGAAATGGTGATTGTAAATTGAAATGGCGGTGATTGTAAATTGAAATGGCGGTGATTAAATTGAATGGCGATGATTGTAAAATTGAAAATGGCGAAGATTGTAAATTGAAGTATATGGACAACAACAATAACAATAATAACAATAATAATAATAATAACAATAATAACAATAATAATAATAATAGTAATAATAATAATAATAATAATAAAGAGAATGGGGACACTGTTTTAATGTTTGGTAACCTGTTTAAACAAGATATAATTATTTAATTGAAAAATATAAAAAGCAAATGCCAAGTTTACCTGATATGTAAGCCTGATTTTAAGCACGAGTGAGTGTTGATGATGGTTGTGTAACGGATAGTTTGTGGGGTCCCTACTTATTAACTTAACACGACAAACATTTTTTTTTAAGTTAATGACGTCAATTCAACCTGGAACTATTAAGGAAAGTTGGTATAGTTTATGACAGTAACGGCTCAACTAACCAATTACTTAAAGTTGACGTTGTTTGTGATGTTAACCCGTGTGAAGGAATTGGTCTGTGTAAACACCATCAGTCTTGCTCTCCCTCAGTACGTCTCAACCCATAGCCCACCTGGGACTCCTCCTCACTCTCCACCCTCATGTTTGTATTGCCTTGAAGTTAGCACCTCTTCCCACCTCCTCCACCCACTTCCCCCTCCTTTCTCCACCCATTTTCCTCCTTCTCCATCCACCCATCTATGTCCTTCCTCCTCCACTCACCCACTTCCCTCCTTTCTTCTCCATCCACCCATCCACCTCTATCCTCCCCTCACCCACCCACCCACCCTGAACTCATTATCATTATCCTATGTCCTTGTCTTCATTTTTTGTACAGTCCAGATACAGGGGAAGGAAGAGCCCAGATAATAACACAATGGGTCCTTTACCACAGTGGGTGTTAAAACCTTTGCTGACTATAAACACAGTGCAGTTGTCAGATTATAGTTACTGTGATATTCTTATATGTCAACTTAAGGCACCATTTTGTTTTATAAATTTGTCATAATATGGAAATTGATTTAATTCTGGTGATACATGATTTTGTTCTTCTATTGACGAGTGTGTGAGACGCCTTGAAAATAGGTATAATAGTTCATTTACGAGTTTGTTTCCTGCTTTACGTGGAGACTTTCCTGACCTGAAATGTTTCTGAACAGTCATCATGATACTACGTGAAGCTTTGTTTCTTTTTTATTCAAGTGAACATTTTATTTATTCTCTTCAGGTGAGTACACAATTAACCTTGATCACCTGGACACAAAATGCATGCTGTACCTGGGTGTTCCTACAGCTGGGAGTAAATCTTGACACAGCTTAACACCTTATACTAACTAGGAAGCTAATAGTGGCGGACCAGGAAGGGGAAGGGAGGATAAGGAGGAGGCAAATGAGACGATAGGGTTGGCAGCAGTGTCAGGAGGTGAAGCTGTGGAAGAAGGTGATCAGCAGCTGCATGAGAGACAAAACCAGACAAATGGCTTCCTGCTGTTTCTCTAGACTGTGGAGCAGAGGGGGGTCGGAAGGGGAAGGTCTGAGACATGAGAAGCAACCTGTCGGCGTCAATGGTGCCATGTGTGGAGCCGCGACTAATAAGGATGGAGCCACAGACAGTGAGGGCGGGTTAAGTGGTCCTAGTGATAGACTCCTGACGCGGTAGGAAGTACATAACGTCCTCAGTGGAATGTTCCAAGGGATGTGATGGAGCTTTACCCGTGGGTGATGAGAGTAAACAGTGTTATGGCGCCCTCAGGAGGTGCGACTCAGTTCATCGTCAGGAGAGTGGTGACAGTTTCTTGCGATGGTGTACCTATGGGACCTAATATCAATCGAATTAGATACTCTGATCAATCCAGTCGGTAGTGACGAGAAGTTGGGTCCCAGCAGACTGTTTAGGTTGCTCCATGTGGAGAAGATATAAGAGACTGTCTGTCACGGTCTTAAGAGGTGTAAATGGGGGAGAAGTAAAGCTGACACCATCTCCCTTCACACACACATCCAAAATGCTGTTCGACTAGAAACCTTGAATTCATTAGCCTCCCAGTAGAGAATGGCTTATCGACGCTAATCATGAATAACTCTAAACTTGCTCAGTATTTTGTGTAAAGTGGCTTCAAGTTGTTCTTATGACTGTCAGATCAGGAAATGACAGGATAGAGACCTTGTCCTGAAGGAATTGGTAAAGACGACCAGAAATTGTTTAGAGTAGAGCGTCAGGATCGCCAGCCCTCAGCTACTAAGACATGACGTTGATTGATAAGAGTCTTAGAGTGTGTTTGGCCACCTCTCTATCGGATACCATAATTAACCCCTCGGGTATAATAAGCCCTTGAGTAGGATGGGCTGGGCCGGTAAGACCAATGAAGTTAAGCCTTTAAAAAAGTTCATAGCAAGTTTTTGAGTACGTCTCCTGCTATTAGTATTACCACGTCCTCCTG